GAAAGTCTTCTTCATCCGATCCGTCCGATCTTGATCCTGAATCGATATTGTCACTTTCCATTCGAACGGCTTTCACTACTCGCGGCGTTATTGAATATACTGGGGATGACGCTGTAGCCGATCGCGATCGATCCTTGTTCGTTTCGGTCGGCTCTTTGTCGTGCCCAAAACTCATACGTTGATACGCGTGTAGAGTCTCTTCCATCGTGTCGGCGTCATGCACTCGCAAAAGAGTGAATTGTTTCTCCCACGCTCGATCGTCCAAAGTATCAATAAAATGTTCCACATGTACACGTCGGCTTGCAGGCGATCCATCTCTTAACGCTATCTTCGCTCGTATTCCTGCCACAACCAGCCGGTGAAGATATTCCAACGGGGTCTCATTCGGCCGTTTCGCGCGTGGTAATACTGTCTTCCTGCTGACATTCCGTATCCCCCATATTGGACCATGAATCTTTCGGACAATGGTTTGCACTCAATGCAGGTCGATCGGCTTAATTGGTTGTACTAATTTCGGGCAGGTCGTGTCAGCAGATCTCCAAACACCAAACATTTTCCGTAATATGGAGCCTGATCGTGCACGAAGAAAATCTTCATCTTGCTTAACCAGATTCTAAACGTTCTACTCCGTGTTTGTCCCTTTTTAAAAATTCTTCCAGGTTAGTCACTGCCGTGAACCTTTATCCTCTGCGCGCTGAAACCTCCTGTAGGTGCGGTTTCTGCAGTTGCCACCTGCGGTCGCCTTACATCGTTAAAACTCTTACGGTCTCGCTCGTGTTCGCTCGGTCGATTGCGGTATGATTTTACAAATTTCCGATTCGATATCTTAATTGTATCGCTCTTGCAAATTCGTAGACCGACCTCGGACCGGGTGGCTTGCTCCTTGTTCTTTGCAATCGCAATGAACCTTTTCATGGCGGCCTTGAAGCACGTTTGCAACTGGCTTGGCTCCGCCGTGTTTGCCTTCTGTGAGGTATATTTCAGTCGAGCACATTTCGATATTGGCCAAGTCGATCTCGTCTCCCAGCAGAGCTGCTCTTGTTGGTCCTAGCGAAATCCGTTGCATCCTAGGCGGTATGTCTAAGTCCAAATATGATTCTGCCGAGGCATAGCGCGAGGACCCAGTAGATTCGTCCTTTACGTTGCGGTCGATCGACTCGATCACTTGACCCAGGTGTTCTTCTATCAGGGTGCGGTCGATCTACTTAATTCTTCGGTCGATATCCCCTTCTTCCCTGATCTGTTGATCCGTCGGGTCGTGAGACCCACATAGTGGAATTAACTTCTCGAACGATAGCCTTCCTGCCTTAATTTACCGATTGTAATTGCACTTTAAAAATGCTTGTGCATCAAAAGCTCCCGCCGTAGATCCGGCGTCTCTTAGTAGTTGAATAAGACGATGTAATGCTTCCAGCTGACTCGAAATTGCTTTCTGTGGCGATAACGGAACATGGATCCACTCGGTCAGCTTTGGCTTTAACACATTTACGACTGGGTCTTCTGAGATGCTTCTTCAGCTGTTGCCAACAAATTATTAAGTGCTTCGTTCCAACTGCCAGCCTTCTGATTCAGCATCAACTTCCGCCTTGATCGCTTGCTTGTATTGATGTGTCTCCGTCGTCTTCGACTTCGACCGGGACAGCTTGGGAGTGTGTTTCTTCGCTTTCAATAGGGCGATACTTTTGGATGAAAATCTTTTTAGTTTCGCTGAAGCGTTTAAAATCAGAAATTCGTGTCTTTGTAGCACAAACTGCGGTGGCCCCCTAAAAGACCTCAGAAGGGGGTCGAGGTTCTCTTCCATATCAGCTTGACGATCTTCATCTTTAGCTTTCTTGTCATCGTAGCTCCTCCTCAAACTATAATAAAAAAGGAAGTTTTTTCTCTTCGCGCGTCTGCGGCGATCCATCTTCCGCAAGCGCTTCAATCCCAGGTTCAGTATTGATCTTAGCATCTTCATCATAGGACTCACGGTGAAATTCTGAGTCATTAGAATATCCGGGCACGCGGACCATTGTGGTGGAGTGGGGTTCGCTCATTTCATGAGGAGATCCCGACTCTCCACTGGCGCCCTGACAACTGACTAACGGACGGGGTACTCCGATTCCGCTTGCACTTGTTTCCTCCTCACCTTGTGTACCCGGTAGGGCGGGTTGTGCTCTTCTTATAGGTGGACTTGACTCGATGCTGAACTCGACCGTTTTAGAATTTGGTGTTGATCGGGTGGAAATTCCTCAACCGATCGCGTGCTCTTGGTTGGCGCTCTCCAAGAGTCGCCGCGATCAGCCTTGATTGCCTTGTGCTTAAAATGGGGTACTTGAGTCGCGAGCCTTCTGACGACTTGAGCCGTCTCGCGATCTTGTACTTCAGCCAGTAAGTTTTCCTGCGTCCGATATCAGTTATGGTGTGTTGAGAGTCCTTGCACTCCTGGCCAAATAGCTCCAGGAGTGATCTGCCTGACCTTGTTGTCGAAGTTCTCTGACGTCGGGAGGCCAAATAATACAACCCGGAAGAAGAACGACACGTATGTGTTTAGAAGCAAATTGAACTCTGCTTAATATTAAACACCAAAACTCAAAACTACTACCACGCCTACTCCGTATTTCAGGATTGACCGCCACGTGTCTTCTCCATGCCGAATGTATTTGTAGCCCTTCTATATCACGTAACCCCAGCAAGATCGCGGTCCCTTGATCCCGGTTCTCTGATCGTGGTCCCTTGATCCTGGTCCCCTGATCGCGGTCTCTTGATCGCGGTCTCCTGATTGCGGTCCTATGCTCTTTCTACGATTTGGGACAGTGCGGATTAGATGGGGTTGATCCCGTTCGGGTCACTTCAACGGTAACATTTAAATAGGTGCCTATCATACCACGAGCGATTCAGCCAATGCCACCTCGTACTTAGCTTGATCGCCAAGTATTTTCATTCGATCTCGATCGGCTTTACCACAGTTGCAGAAGATGCGCTGATACGCGGGTCCGTAGCTACCTAACTTAGCGGGTGCGATTAAACAAATGCAGGTGGAATTTAGCCTTCAGTTTTGCGAAACCAAAGCGCATCCTTCTTTCGAGCCGAACGTGAGCAAGTGAAGCAATTTCTGAAGATACGACAGGCTTGGCAGACGGCGAGCCCGGTGAGTCCAACGCGTGAAGACGAAATCATTCTCTGTCTCCATCTCATTCAAGAAGAGAATGACGGATACTGTCCGCTTGGAGGACACTGACGTACCACGCGCTTGCAGATTCGGCCTGTCGAGGTAATCATGCACGGTCATTAATTCAATTTATATCATCTCGCCCTGAGATCCTCTTTCTCCGCTACTGCTGTAGTTGTGACAGCCTTGGGTTCCTTGATCCATATTGCGAGTGACTGCCCGGCAGTCTGACGAATGCGTTCATCCACACTCGGTTGTGTGAAGAGGTAACCACTGTGAGCATACGCTGTGGATACAATTTGTGCTCGACGCCTGCGGTCATCGACCGACTGAAGATATTGTTCTTGATCTAAATTGAGGATTTTGTGCAACACACCCGACGCAGGGTCGACGACTGCACGATGGCAATGGGTGAAAGAACCTCTCGTGTTCCACGAATAAATTCGTCACGATGCGCGTGTTGTCGCGTCGGTGGCGTGGCTGGAGGATGGTCAAAGATGCTAGAGGCAGCGGTGTCACTCTTGTAGTCCACAATACTCTCTTCGAGAAATTTATCCAGGGTATTGAATGGATGGTTTGACTCAGTAATTTTGAGATGTGTTGTGAACACGATGGTCAAAGACCAGATCTCTGAGACCATAAAGAGCAGTAGATGAATTGCAGACACAAGGGTATTAAAACTTTGGTGGGGGAGGGTGTAGCAAAATTACACGGCGGCTATTGTACCGGTTATGTCTGTGTCCACACCAAGAAAAGATCAGTGGATCTGAGTGATACAGTATTGGTACCATGTACTTACGGTAATATCGCACCTTATCGGGTAGGGATAAGGATTAAGACTTATGTTATAGGATCGCAAAGTAGAAGTCAGTCAGACAAGGCTTTAGGGTTTCATTACCGTAGTCAAAGAATAAAGAAAGTTTAGTTCTTTATTTTAATCGTGGACACAAGTGCCTAGTAATGGCGTAGTGTGTTGTTACGGGCATTAGCCTTGTAAAGCCGCTTGCTCTTGGTCAACTAGTAGTGACTAGTTACTGTGTGGTTCTGTAAATCATGATCCCTTTAGAACCGAAATTGTTAAGCTTGTACGCCTGAACGAATGTACCTCCTTGTTAGTTCGTTATACCTAAGAAATTCTTTGAGTGTAAGACTTCCTATATTTAGGAGCGTTGAGTAGCTCTACTTTATATAGCATGGAAGGGCCAGGGTTGTAGTTGGCGCCGCGGGTCCCGACGTCAGCGTTTTTGTTGTCGCCACTACCTTTGGAACCCTCCACGAATATTTAGGCTTCGGAATGCAGTCGCACACAAAGACGTGTGCTTAATTTTTGATTAAAGCTTTATTTGCTTTAAGGGAACCATGGGCAAACTCACAACTCGCGAAACGCTGTACAGAAGCTCTGATGTTATACCTGAACATTTTTACTCCCGTAATTACCGGGCATTCGGGTAATGAGATCGGGGGTACCTTACTCGACCCGCTTCCTTACCCGTTTTGTTATCTGTATCCTTTACCACTGATTTTTACCGGGTAATGAAGGGTACTTTACCTTGCCTTGCCGAGGCCTGGCTACCGAGCTTGAGCACTCGGGACTCAGCAGTCGATCTTGTTATGATAGTACCATTACTGAAATACCACATTGATACTTGCGGATGCCTCACCGTACCCGAATTATTGTAAATTGGAGTCGAGCGCAATACAGTCCCCTGACCGTCTCACCGTCGCTAACATGAAATGCAAATCGAATTACAGCGCCCTAACACCATCGCCTCACCGCAATCGAGCCGTATCGCCCACAAACAAACGCCCACTTCCAACCAATCAACGACGTCCGTTCTTGACCTCGAGCATGGCTCAACACCAGCCGCTCCTGCAGCTGCTTCGCGGCCCTCGTGGCAAGCTCTGGGAGGTCTGCATTGGCTTGGAGGTGCACGCACAGGTGCTCAGTCGCTCAAAGCTCATGAGCGGCTCTGCAGCAGCCACGCTCTCGTCGGTGCGACCCAATCGCCACGTCAGTTTCTTGGACGCTGCGGTACCCGGTACATTACCGGTAATAAACCGCGAGTGTGTCCATCAAGCGATTCGCACGGCTCTTGCACTGGACGCCACTGTTCATCTGCGCTCTCTATTTGAGCGTAAACACTATTTCTACTGCGACCTGCCGCTGGGCTATCAACTGACGCAGCAGCGAGCGCCTGTGGCGTCCGGAGGCGCGTTGCGCTTTGATGTCGCGCTGTCGAATGTCGTGAGTGAACACGGAGGCGCGTGGGCGTCAAGCGAGACGACGTTTGATGCGTCCAAGTTCAAGTCGAGGAAGGAGAAGAACGAGGCGCGGACCAAATGGAAGACAGAGCAGCTGAGCAAGCAACAGGTGCGGAGAAATGAAGGACTTTGATAGAGAAGTTGAGCTTTTCACGTGGGTTGTAGTATAGTTTTGGAATCTGTCTTGCTGGTCTTGGTGTGAGGGGGTGGTGACTCTGTCTTGCTGGTCTTGGTGTGAGTCGGTGGTGACTCAGTGTGTTGTTTTCATGTTGTTGTTGTGTTTGGGGATGTAGGACGTGATTTCAAGAAGGGTTCGGATTTGTCGTATTCAGCTGGAGCAGGATTCAGGTTTGAGTTTGTGCGGAATGTGGTCTACAGGTTGTTGTGAGGTGGCGCAGATGCTGATGCTCTTGTTGCTTTATTGCTGCTGTTGTGATGGGGGTATTTCGTTTTGCAGGTAAGAGTAATCACGACTTAGAGGAGGAGCATACTGTAGTGGACTTGAATCGTGCTGGTACGGCGCTGTTGGAAATCGTGATGGAACCGGATTTGCGAAGTCCGCTCGAAGCTGGCCAGGTGATGCGCCAGCTGCAGCATTTGCTGCGACATTTGGATGTGTGTGATGGAAATATGGAGGAAGGATCGATGCGATGTGATTTGAATGTGAGCGTGCGACCGACTCATCTTGGAGTGGACGCTGATGCAGAGACTCTTTATCGCGCGTTGACGTCCGCCACTGCAGCTCCTTTTGGCGAAAGAGTGGAGGTGAAGAATATGAACAGTATCCGCAACATGGTGCGTGCAGCCGAATACGAGGCCAGACGGCAGATCGCACTCATCGAAGACAAAGGTGGAGAAGTACATCGTGAAACGCGCTCTTTTGATGCCTTTTCAGGAGAAACTGTACGTAGACACGGTTGTCACACGAAACCTTCTCATCGGGCTGACTTGTGGTGTTTGTATTGGTGTTGACATAACTACTCATGTAGAGACGCATGCGATCAAAAGAGGGGGCAAAAGACTATCGTTTCTTTCCCGATCCGGATTTGCCTCCGCTCGTTTTTACAAAAGAAGTTATCGAGGAAATTAGTCAAGACATGCCGGAACTTCCTGACGCGCTCGAAAGTCGATTGCGCGCCCAGTACGGTCTTACTTCTTATGAAAGTTCGGTACTGGTGAACGAACCTGGTGCAACACGCTACTTCGAGTCAGTTGCAGCACAGGAGTCGCGACCTTCGAAGATGGTTGCAAATTGGGTGCTGAACGATTTGTTCGGACATTTGAAAGCATCTAAGGGCAACATTGTCAGCAGTCCGGTTGAAGCCACGGAGCTTGGTTATCTCATTGATCTGATCCAGGACGGCACCATATCGGGCAAAATCGCAAAGGATGTCCTAGAGTTGATGTTTTACGAAAACGAGACCAGAAAAACGCCGCTGCAAATCGTAGAAGAGCGGGGGTGGAGGCAGATTCAGGATGTTGCTGAGATTCGTGCACACTGTCGTGCTGTCCTCGATGACCCGGTACGTTGTTAACTTGTCGCAACGAGCCGGTCTGCAAATAATGCAACTAACTGATTTGACGTTTGGTAGAATGCAAAGAAGAATTTGGAGGCATACCAGAACGGTAAAACACAGCTTTTTGGTTTTTTTATCGGCCAAGTGATGAAGTGTTGTGACGGCCGAGTTCACCCGGAGCTTGCGAACAGCGTGATGCAAGAGATTCTTGACGAGCGCAGGGAATAGATGGGCACACACACGAGATGCGGAAGAAATGAATAGCTGAGTGTATATGAAAAAGCTACATGTTGTGGACACAACTGCACTTTAGAAATTTATAAAGCGGACAACGCACATGTTCTACACCGTTATCGGTAAAGTCTGAAAAGCAAAACACGGACTCCAGCGACAAGTCACGCGGCAGACTGCAGCAAGCCATGCGTTTGCAGGAGCTTCTTGTAAATCAGTGCAAACAGCGCAACGACGATGGCTATCGTCAAGTAGTGCAGAAGCGTGTCCACGTGGTCTGACTCACGCACTTGGCCAGCAACAGGTGCCGTGACCGCCGTGTCAGCATTCTGACGAGATTCCATCACTGCCGGCCCTTGTGCTTCTGGTGGTTCCTCAATAGTCGCTGATACTGCAGCTGCCGTATCAGAAGAGTCGACATTATCCACATGACTTACTTCATCGGCAGACGTCTTGACCTCTGATAAAGTAGCCATCGAATTCAGCAAGGCCTCATTATGAACCTCACCACGGCTTTGTGCTACAACAGAAGTTGCCGTCGCCTCCTGCAAGCCATGTTCACTGCTCTCTGTAGTTGCAGTGGCAGCCTTTTTTTCGTCGGACGCTGCACTTGCTGGAGAAGCACTTTTCTCTAGGCCGTGAATGTGCAGCTGTGCAATCTGGTCCGCATACTTAGAAGGCTTTTTCTCACTTCCTTCCTCGGAAACCAGGTCTGGCAACAAGTCGGCAACTCGTCCACAACTTTCACACTTGAAGTTGACCGACTACAAGCAACACACGCGCGGAATAAACAAACAGACGATAAATCACGAAATCAAACACACGACCATCCTGGACTTCCATCGACACGTACCAATTTTGCCAGCCGCTTCCTCTCGTCCGCAGAAAAGTCCAGTGCACCTATCGCACCCTCGCCTTTCGTAGGCATGAAGCTGGTCAGTGCCTCCAGAATGAGTCGGACGCCCCACGCCGGCTGCCACTCCTCCGGGTGAAAGGCCGAAATGCTCAGACAGATTTTCTTCTTCACTTCAAAGCGTCCATTTGGCTGCCAAATCAGCAGTACAAAACAAAATCGCACATTCACATCGAAAAGTAAGTATAACCCAGCTCTCATTGTCCCATTATCAACATTAAAGGAAAAAACGTCATCGTATTGCATCAATTGGTATATACAGTGTGATGGCGTCGTACCGTCAGCAGCATAATGTTAGGCGGCTTGAACGGATAATCCGACGGCAAAATGATGCGTCCATGGTAAATCCCGCCTTCGAACTCCGTCTCGCGTGGTCCACGCAGTGTGAAATGCCAGTCAAACATATTGGTCTTTCAGGTGGCCCACATTATACATCCATACAATAAACGTGTCAGACACGCTGTGTGATTACTACAAACTGAAGTCAGCTGGGCACCTCGAGCGGCGCTGCCGCGTACTGGTCGCTTGGATTCGTCATCATTTCGCGCACATCCTGCGGTATTAGAAGGAGGGAGATGAGTTGTGCAGGGAGGACCTAAGGGACACTAGTCTGTAGCTGCACGTACGCCTTGAATGCGTTTGATCGCAGTGTTGCGCACGGTGGCGGCCATTTTGGAGAGAGTGTGTCAACAAGTTAGTAATGTTGCGCGGAAGTCGCGGTGGTCGCTAGCAATGTTGCGCGGAAGTCGCGGTGGTCGCTAGCAATGTTGCGCGATGGTGAGGACGATTTGTTGAAAACGTTGCACATTTTCACAGTGAAGTGATGAGCGAGGAATGTTGCGCGATGCTGACGGTGATGGGCATAGAATGTTGCGCGTCGTTCGATAAAAGAACAAAAAGCCAGCAGTTTGACTCGCAAACATCTTGACGGACATTTAAAATCACACGCCAGCAGCATATGCATAAAAATAGAGAAAGGTGTCTAGTGTGGTCTTGCGCGGAGTAAATTCGCGATTGTCTTTGTAAAGCTACCACTAGTCCGTATGCGGCTTACCCTTGAGGCCGGTGGCAATTGTTTTCGCTCGACATAAGCATGCAAAAAATATCATTGTTGTGCTGCCGGAAAAAGCGATTTAATAGAGTAAGAACGCATGGTAAAGTATTCAGCTTTCGTTTGGATCGTGGGAACCTCCAGATAAACGCAGTTGCGTCGGGCAATTATGTAGATGCATGGAGCTGAAGTCAAAGCATGTGCGTCACTTGCCACGCCCAAGCAGCCTTAACTTGTGATTTTGCACGACTGAAAAATCATGGTGACGAATCGGCGGTAACACTGCGAGGGGTAAAATGAATAGCTTACACTCGAGCACATGTACATATTTGATGATTCGAAAGATTCGCGAGTCTGTCCAGACGATAACATGTTGGACCTTCTAAAGCGATAGCGCAGATCAGAATATCGAAAGCGATATACCGATGCCATTACGAGGATTCAAAATGGCTCAGTTTTTTTGCGGACGTCTGAACAAGCCGTTGCCGCCGGGTGAGTCAAATCCTTACATCTATCTCGCATTGCTGCTTTAGTTCTGCGGTATGTAGATCGGAGACGCTTCTTGTTACACCTTACGTGATATTTCTTGTGGTCTCTTTTGCTAGTGCTTTGTCATCGATAATGGAGTACAGCTCTTGCGTGTTGTACACCGCGCGTTTATATAGGCAAATGTGTCAGCATAAATTTTACAAAAGCAGGATAACAGCGCATGGGTGAAAGAAGGTGACGTGTTCATGAAAAACGTGCCTAATCGGGTAATGTATAGGAACCAGCACACAGAATACGTCCTACCCTGATTGAATTCATGATACCCCGCGGAGGCTGTCGGGGTCTCATGTTATCTTTACAAGAACATGTTCCTAAGAAATGGTATTGCTGTTAGAGGTACGATTGCACACAAGTCATGCTTGAAATTGTTGGGCCTTCCGGACGAGGGTCCCGCCTTTACAATTACAATCAACTGGTATCTGTCATGCAGATATGACTTTCTACAAGTACCGATGGGGACAACGTCTTGGATGCCCCGAAAGATCTAATAGAACGTCGTTGATTTTCGCGATTCACATTTGTGCTTCTTTTTGTGAATACAGTAGGCCTTGCTTGCGTAGCGCCGAAAGTCATGAGGCGGATCTGATGTTGCCATCTTCACTGCCGAAGTCCGAACATTCAACTGCGAGTACACTGACATCTGCTTTGAGCCCTTGACATCAGGACGAAGAAGATGCAAACAGCATCTATCGCGCTCCTCAACGTAGAAGCCGAAAAAGTTTGGATCTTATGATCGGATAAGTTTAAGTCCCGAGACGCCAAGACCAGAAGCCGAAACCTCAGAAGGCCGGGGAAGGGTAGACAAATAGACTGTCTATGCTTGTACTTCCTTTCAGAATATGCTGGTTGTGATAGCAACAGCTTGGCGTTGGCACGTACCACGCAAAGGAGTCAACAGAGTCACGAACTACAATGCCGGTGGCACTTCCTTCGTACCGAGCAGGAACGGATAAGGTTTATGCATATCGAAAAGCCCACGTGCCAACGTCAACTCGAATGATGTCCTTGCAGAACGGGCAGATACGAGCACCACCGACCTTTCCCTCTCCGTGTCCAACAAAGCGCTTCGAGATGTAAGTAGGGTGCCAGTTTTTGGCGAGGTCAAACTCGGTCAGTTCTGAGTTGGCCACCCAACGCAGACATCACCTCTTTTGAGCATTCCATTCTCGCCATGTTTGGAATCCGATTCTCGCGCTGGTACTTGTTCGTCGCTGCTTTTGCTGTGCAAGTCTGTCTCAGTTGCATCTATGCTTGGTCAGTACTGAATCAACCTGTCGATTTCGCCATCTACGGTGATGCCACAAAAGGCCGAGCAGTCAACACCTTTTACATTTGCTTGGGAGTGTCCGGTATCACAACAGCTGCTCTCGGTCCGATCATTGAGCGTAGGGGACCCCGCTGGGCTGTATCCGTTGGTTCCACCTTGTTCTTGATAGGTCACACCATCACGGGAATCGGCTGCCACTACAAGTGCATCACTTGTGTTTACGTCGGCTACGGGGTCATTAACGCCATCGGAATGGCGATGTGCTACATTTCAACCGTGTCCACGCTTCAGAAGTGGTTTCCAGACTACCGCGGAACTGCCGCTGGCTTTGCCGTTGCTGGATCTGGTGCTGGGGCAGCAATCTGGAGCAAGGTGTACCTACCGACGATCAATGCAGTGGGTCTCCCTTGGATGTTTGTCCTGCTTGGAAGCATCATGAGTGCTATCATGTACGCATCGACTATCGCCATGCGCGTCCCACCTCCAGATTTCACTGTGAACGGCCTGAATATCCACGGTGACTGTGTCGAGCTCAACGATGCTCTCGACGAAAAGCTCGATGACACTTACAGTGCACTTCAGACACCCAAAGCTGGAGAGACTGCTAACTTTGATGCAACCGTCTCGAAGCTACCAGCCAACCTTTTGTCACTCAAGCAGGCTGTGCTGACACCCGATTTCGTCTTCATCAACCTCATGGTCTTTGCGAACCAGCTCTTTGGCGTCATCGTGTTATCTCGACTATCGAGCATGTGCACTGACCTTTTCGGTAAAAGTGCCACCACGGCGTCCGACATCGTGTCCATCAACAGCGCGTTCAATTGCTGTGGTCGCCTAGTATTCTCATCTATCTCGGATTTGCTCGTGAAATGTTTTAGCGTGGAGAAAGCGTTTGCGCGCAAGGTCATCTATTTCTTCACGCTAGGCGCCCAGATCATTGTCATTGGATCCTTGCCTACCGTGATCCGCCGCGGAGACTTCTCGTACTTTGTCATTGAGATGTTCGTGCTGACGTCGTGCTATGGTGGCGGCCTCGGGACGATCCCAGCTCTGATTACGGACATGTTTGGTGCCTTTAACGTTGGCCCGATGCATGGCATTGTTTTCCTATCCGTGTCAATTGGTGCTGTTATTGGTGGACTAACCTTCAACTTCTCCTACCGTGACATGATTGATGATGGCATGAGCACAAGCGAGGCGTACATTGACAACATCCTAGTGATCCTGGTCATCGTCTGCATTGGATTCGCCATGCTCTTCCTGGTGCGTACGAACGAGTCGGACCGGTTCGAACCGGGTTACCACTACTCAGTATGTGGCAAGCGTGTTCTGAGCATTCCAGCTAAGGAAAAGTTCGCGGCAGTGCGATACCAAGAGACTGCGGAAGTCGAAGCCAGTGTAGCTGAGAAACTGCATGATCACGCTGTTTAAGTGCAAACAACAGGAGCACGTGCATGCTTTATTCTGCTTGCTCACATCCATTTTTGGTTGAAACGTTTTATCCTTCACGATGAAATGCAGGGTCGCGCATGTCATGTCGGGATGAAGGTCGACGAATTGACGAAGCGCTCGGAATAGAGCAAGTGTCTATCGGCTTTATTCGTTTCAGCCAACTGGCGTCAATGCAGTCGCAGTATTCGCTTACTGCGTGCATAGAGAGGGCGATCGTCGTCATGGTCACCACAACTGAATAAAGATCGCTACACAGAAAAGCACAGTAGCCAGCTGGACGGTCCCTCGTGTCGGTAAATACTGGCTCGGAGTCCCGTTGACAAGCCGTTTCGACTACACCACCCTTCCTGATCTATCAGCCAATCAGCATGCTGAAGAATGTCCACCCACCCTTCGTCGGGGCATCGCACTTTAACCTGCGATCTTTTGCTCCATACAAACTCTAGGTCATCTCCCCACACGCTTTTTTTTCGCCGTAACAGCTGCCACGCAAAAGTCTCTGGCTGCCAAAAAGCGATTGCGCGAATATCGATACTCTATAATAGCGCTGGTTTCGCAACGGCTTTTTTGCCTCACCGCTCTTTCTACCGATCGCAACGGTAGTCTCGTCTACCGGCCGAAAAACCGATCGTCTCGACTCGTTTCTTTCCAGAAGTTGCTGACTTACCCGGGTCTGAGAGCTCACATTATAAAAATAGCTCGTTACTACTGAGCTCGACAGGTGCAGCTGTTTTACATAGACGGCGGTCACTCGAGTTGTATAGTTAAAGCTATAAATACGGGCGATTTCTTTTCCATCGCGCTGTTTCTATCGCTTTTTAACGGTACGGTTTGCAACACGATCAATTGTGGCGTTTCTAAAGCGCAGGGCACTCAAACTGTTTGTGTGTGACTCGTTTTTGTGACAGGATCGAGACTGACTGTATCATGGGCCGCAAGAAGATCCAGATCAAACGCATTGAGGACGATCGCAATCGCCAAGTGACTTTTGCCAAGCGCAAGAACGGTCTTTTCAAAAAGGCTATGGAACTGTCCAAATTGTGCGACTGCGAGATCGCACTTATCGTGTTTGACACAAACAACAAGCTCTACCAATACTCAAGTACGGGTGTGGACCAAATTCTGCTGAAGTATACCGAGTACGGCGAGCCATCGGAGACCAAGGACAATAACGACGTGAGCACTCAGAATGCAACGAAAGATTGGGTGTTGTGGCAAGGTTTTTCACGTAAATGGTCATTGGACTAACATGTGGTTGTTGTCATTGTTGGAATTGTGTGATTTTTGCGTGCTACTTGCAGTACGAAATCATGTTTGGTGAGAAAAAGAAGCAGCTGCAACAAGCAGCCAAAGAAGCAACGGCTGCAGCAGTGACGGGTTACACATCGGCTGACTATAGTATGGCCTATGAGCCGGATTCGAATGGAGTGGCGGTGCACTCTTTCCAGTCGATGCATGGCGGCATGGATGGTACCTCGCTGGAATTGGGCAACGACCTCGATCAATACGTGCTGAACTCTTGCAGTCGGCCTTTGACGCAGAAGAAACGCGCACGTGGCGGTTTTCAGCAGCTTTTGAAGAAGGAGCACATTAGCTACACCCCGCCTACGCTTCCTATGTACCAGCACGGGGTACGTCTCAATTGGTATTGCAATTATGTCATGTGGTCTTTATGAGGCCACCAACTCATCGTGCTTTTTCTGTAGACAGGAGCTCTTGGTGGACTACCAAATCAGCGCACGCTTGCTGCAATTCCGAATCTCTCAAGTGCTCTTCCATCACCTACTAGTAAGTTTGGTCACGCACGTACGCGGGCATTCAAGTCCCCTTGTTACTAACGCAACACATGAACTTTTTGGTATAGTAGTCGCTGGCATGCTACCTTACGACTTCAGCGCTCAAACAAATGCTGGTCTTTTCGGTCAACAAACCATGCTTATTGGAGGCATGTCTGGGGAGCTTTATGACAGCAGAGGTGGTGCACTTGGTCTGAATCTGATGTCTTCGGACTACCGCCACCGTGGAGACAGCAGCGTCTATCCGCAGCAACTGCAATCAAAGGACGCATTCTACGTCCCAAAGCCAAGCATTTTACCCGACACAACTGCTGACAATCGTCAAAGCTCCATGGACGAATGTGGTGAGCCATTTGCAGATGGCGAAATGCCCCAATTTGACGAAATAGTTTGCAAAGCTGAAAACTTTTCGGACTTGCCACAACATGATGATTTACCGGACAACGGTGAATATATACTACCCGCAAAGCAGAAAGAAGTGACAACGGCTAGAGACAAGCTAGTTCCGGACCCGGTGCCGTCACTGAATTGTGAATCGAAGCAGAGTCGCCACGACGATGCGTTTTTTTCGAGATCAGCCAAGTGTAGCGATATTCAAGTCGCATCCCCGACCAAAGCTGCGACGTCTTCTGGAGCGCGACCTCCAAGTGTTACGTCCGATACACTAAGCACTGATTTCGAGAAGCGCTCACGAACAGAATTGTCGGGGCCAGCAGCAAGTCTGCAAAAACGTCAACGTGTGGTTGTTTGACATTTTATTCAGTCATCGTGCACTCCGGTGGCGTACGCGGTCGCCTTCGTCGCACGCTTTGCATACTATGTTTATCGTACTTTTAGAGCTAGAAAATAGACGACAATTTTTGCCTGCCTTTTTGTTAACGGCATTCTTAGCGTAGTGTACCCTAGGAAGATCCCATTGACAAAGTGCACGATTTTAATGCAATGAGACGCTACTAGGAATTAGGGACATGAATTGTGAACGGCTGCGCGTCTGTGACCCGGATGATCAAAGTGTACGTATCACACGCAATGAAAATGTACGCTAATGACTTGAGCCATGAAAGTCTGGGATACAAAAAAACAGTGTCATAAGCTCTGTGATGAACAGCTCGAAACGAAGCTTTGTAGTACTACTATTTCACTTCGTACGCTCAAAAGAATTGAGGTCGACTCAGTGAGAAGCAATAGCAGCATTGTATACAATATGAACAGACCATCTGAAATGTGTCAAAAAATTCAGTTGGCTACGTTGATGTCGAAGGCAACAATTCAGTAAGAGTCAGGTTGATGAGCTCTACGATGGTTGCTTTTTCTAAAAACTGATGTTCGGTGTTTATCTCGTCAGCAGTTAAGGCAAATTATACCTTCTATCCACGTACCGTGTACGTGAATTTCCGAAGCGCATACCTCCGCCCTATCAGCAGTACAGGATAATAGCCAGTGCAGGGTTACATTAGTTATCTGGTAAGCGTGAGTTCTTGAAACTTTTTGCAGCAGCACCATGTGGAACGTAAAGAATTCAATTGAGCTCCAAGGGCTCGCGGCATTCGACCGACAAAGCTATCAAGAATGACAGCAAGGTGGGATTTTGATGCTGATGCTACATAATGTTACGCTGCCAAATGTAGCGGCTCCGTGACGTATCTCTGAATTTCAGTGCATATATAAATGGAATGGACCTATCAGGCTATAGAAGTTTGGCCCAGTGTGATGCCCACTACGTCGCGTCTCGTAAGTCTGACACTACTCCTTTTTGTAACTTCTTAGAAGTCAAGTCACATCAGATTAACTCTGCGAGATGTGAAAAAAAACTGATCTTGCTAAATATAGCGATTGACCGAGTCTTGTGCCACTATCAAGAGCTTCAAGTCATACCGTATTACCACTTTCGTATGTGTTTAAACAATGTTGTAACGCGTCCTGCGAGTATTGGCATTTGCGCATTATTGCCATAACACCTAAATTAAACGGTATTGCTAGATATACCACACTTTTTGCTCCACACACTATACCCGAACGATAACACAATACCGTGCTACGATCGACATCGCGCCTCCATGCCTCGGTAGGGTCAAAATCGCACAAAAATCGGCACTAAGATAAGATTGAGAAGCAAGCTCTCGAACTCGCCCTTTAATACTAGTCACATAGTTTAGAGAACTGAATCACGTTCTGAAACTGACGTGCCGACTTTGGTCGGCGAAACGGAATTAATTGTGATGTTCGTTTTGATTAATGACAGTACTGATGGATCGTTTGTTCATATTGAATTCACTCGTTGAAGTTATTGATGTTAGCAAGAGAGGAACATGGGCAAACCGATGTGTTGCACAATATAAGCAAAATGATATTCGTTATTTCACACGTCCAAGGGATCGCATAAGACCACCAAATCTGACGCAAAAGACTCAAGCTAGAGTGCAGTGGATATGAAAGGCGCATTTGATACACCTTGTTTGGTTCAAACACTTTGCTCAGCTCACGTTTAATGGATAGTGCTCGAAACAGAATATGAACGACAAGGTGACAACATGGTAAGAAAATTACTTTTGTAAGATACGGTACGAGAGCCGCAGTGAATTGAGGGCTGCTAGTGTGCTTCATTTATTGAGCGGATAGTGCCTGTTTAAGGTGCCTTCTATAGAGGGTCACAGCGCAGGTAGGAAATGCATCTCGCGATGACTGTGTTTTCCATAACCATCGTGGTTATATCGTGTCTTCAGTCTACACCTTTTTCTTACCAGAAATCACGCACAAACCATTGTCGTGTCCACTTTAATGGGTGCATGTAAAGTGTGTCGAATAGCCACGCCAATATGTAGCAGGGATCAATTTATAAGCCTTAAAATTAGCAATTGACGATGGGCGTACCGGTGTACTAGGAGCATGTAAAACGCGTTAGTAAAGCTAGATAAACAGTGTTGACATGTGCTTTTTTTCACTACATGCTAATCACCGATTAATACAAATCGGTACCGGTATGAGAGGTGTGAGACAGAGTCTCAATCTAGGCGCCCGTGCCCACCCCCTCAAACGCAAGGTTAGCATACGGGTGGGCGCGGTATGCTTTAATTTAAAACCCTGGTTCGAGGATAGCAAAAAGCGGATGTCAGAAAACGAGTCCCTTTATTTCAACAAAATAGTATTTTTAAATCCTACAAAGAACACGAAAACGATCCAGGACAACATGATAATGGCCGGCGTTCATTCAAATTTCGTGCGACTCGATATTCACGCAGACTGTGCAACTCTTTTCAGCTTAGATACAGGAAACCGTGACAAAGGCATCGATAAGCCTCGACCAGTCACGATTGCCGACCGGTAAACTGTAACGAATGCAGGTATCTGTTCGATACGTTTCGTGTTGGTTTGTCCGGACAGCCAAGTTTCAAGCGAAACATCTGCAAATGGATGACGAGCAGATACCTACCTGAACGGTCGCAGACATCACATATGCTCGGAACAAGTACGCTAGCACACGTGCGAAATATGCCCGTGCCAGCTCGTACATGGAAAGATCGACTTCATGCAGAACCTCTATAGCAACGTAAAAGAGCTCAGATCGATCAGCGGATAGACTGCCGCCATCAGCGACATATATAGAGTTTCTCCTACCGCTGGGAGTGCGCCGCAGACGCAACGACGACGTACGATCGAAGCAGGATGTCGCGTGAGTAACACAATGATCCTCAGTCCACACTATATCGGTGATGACATACATGCCGTAGCCACCCCTACTACCGTTACGTACACGAATCCGTACGCTCGAGATGTTGTGCAAGTCATTCAGGAACCATGTCAACGACTCAATGCGATTTACAAAGTGCGAAGCAGTGATCCAGCGCACGCGAATGCGCTGCAATCACTGCCAAACCAGGTACCAGCTCTGTGCCAATGACCAGCACTGTGTTCATTGAAAACGCCACCGTCACCGTTCCGGCAGCTCAGCACCTGATGTACTTCACAGGCGTGTTTGTCCTACCATCAATTTGCCGTGGACTTCCGTGATCCTTTGTACTGGTCCCCCTCTCAACGAACAGACCGATTATGTCGCTTGACTGTTCTTCATTCTGCCACCAGAGTCCGTGACTCTGGTCTACGACTGCGCCGACCTAACCTCTTGCACCCGTGTCACGACGTTCTGCTTGTCCGGAACCTTCATGACAACAAGTGCCACGGCTCTGACACATCTGACTTGGATTGCCACCAGACGACCACACGTTGACGCACTATCGGACTTTACAGGAGCAAGTACCGGACCGACTGGTGAAACGTGTACGACACGTCCCACGATAACAGGTGTGTCGAACAGCTGATTGTTCGTCCACAATGTCTTCCACCTTGCGGACAGACTTCATGATCGAGCGTAGCTGAAAACCCGAGTAAGCATCCTCATTACTTGTCGGTCGGTGCAAACCCAGATACTTGGCTTATTTACAATCTCCGCCCAGACCAACCGTCGATTCATTTGCACTTCCGAGCTGCCCGAGAGTATTGTCCTGCACTTCAGCTGACGATATACTTTTCATTCGTCGTCTTTTTGCGCAGACAATCACGTCGTAGGCGCGTACCTGGTGAAGGGATGTGCCAGGAGCGTCTTACGATTCGCCAGCCCTCGGAATGATACGTGTTCATATCTGCTCACAATACTGCTGCTATAGCTCGTTGCACGGTTGTCGTTGGCATCGAAGCTGTTCGTTCAGAATCCGTACCGCCGATCTCAGAACCAGCGATTTCCCCACCCATAGTTATCAGGCCAGCACCCGAGGGTGCCAGAGGTCCGTTTGTTCTTGACTTGGGTTCTGCACATCCAATTCATGAACGAACAGACCTCTTGATACCTTATGATGAATGCAACGTCTGCATTCGATCGTGCGGTAACACATCAATTGCCATTGGTCTACTGGCGTGGCGACACACGGCTCCTGGGTGCGTTTACGTCACAAGGGATCACTTCGATACGACTGCCAGCAGACTGACTGCTTATGAATGAGGTTGTAGCACTACTGCAAGAGCGTAGTCATGTCCTCAGCTGTTGCATCCTTTTCCTCGGCCACAATGCATCCCACAAGCGTGAGAGTGATGAAGACGCGCGATGCCTCTTGGCACATCTCGCCACGGAGAACTAATCGTCTTGTCAATGCAGCGCGGGCACCACGTATTTACTGATGATCGCTTCCAGATAATGACACACATTTGGTAATGGTCGACTACCACTTCGGCCTTGCAATCTGTCAGGTAGATATTTGCTTGTGGAGTTCCTGGTTTTGTTTTGCGTAGCGAACGTATTGGCCACCTCGAAACAAATGGTTTTCCAAGATCATCGTCGTGTTTCTTAAATGTCCGCGATTCGTGACGATCGAGCTGGTGTGGGGATTCCTAGCGTCATACTGTAGACACCCTAGTGAGCGCTTTGTTACAGTCCAGCGAGCAGGTTCAATAGGTCGGTCTAAGTATGAGGCCGACCTATTGAACCTGCTTGCCTCTAAGTGTGAGGCCAATGCACTGGTGTGCACCCAGGAAACTAACACGTGAGGAATCTGGCTGAGTGTCAGGCCATGTTCATGGAGATTGCTCAGACCTATAGGTCGGTTCAGTCGTACAAAGGAGCGTGATGTATCTGTCCATTTGCTAGGGTCATGTGTTTGATGTAAAGGTTTTTTTGTTGGCTTAGCCTGTTGTGATTCTAAGCTAGCTAAGAAACCAAAAGACGAGCAAATGCACCTTCATCATCTATTCTTCTTCGCCGCTGTGATCAATCTGTCAAACCTAGCACCACAGACCCCGAGCGACCACAACCAAACAACGAACGTAAAAACGTTCTCAGTAGCCCTGAATGGGCAAGTCCTCCTCGCAAGGAACCTTCTCGAGATCTGCTTTAGTCGGATCGTTGCACTTCGCATCGACCAGGTCACATATGCTCGAATACGTAACGCCGTCGGAGCCGCACGCGTTCCCTTCCACATGGAGACATAGACAGCTTTCTTCGAATTCCTTCGAAGGGCCGTCCGGCTTGGGGCTGTCCGGGACAGGGTCACAGGCTCCTTCGCGAGCGAAAGTGAGCTTAGAAGTTTGGGCCGCGGCTTCTTCCAGCTTACAGATGTTGTCGTACGTGACGTTGTCAGAGCCGCACACGCAGGGCGAATCCTCGGTGCAGTTGCTGAAGCCCGTGCCCGGACGAAACGAGGAATAGCCGGGACACCATCCTTTCGACAGCTGTATGATGGGTTCTCCGCTCGTACAATTAGCGGCGACAAGGCGGCAGTTGTCGTAGTAGGTTTGGCCATCTGATCCACACACATACCCTTGCTCCGCCACACAGTCACTGTCGCAGGCTTTAGGCGGCGTGTTGGACGTCGTCCCACTTGCTGATTCAAGCATCGTCGGTTGCGGTTGAGCACCAACACCGTTTCGATGAGTAGGCGAAACGGCGGCTGCAGCAACGGCGAGCAGGATGCAAACGGAAAGCTTCATCGTTGATTCGGCGTAGACGTGAGGAGTTTGTTGGAAGTTGTAGAATGGTAAAGACAGCAGCACGTCACGAAGGGATCGAGAACTCCGGTCAGTTCAGACTGGAACATACGTCATCGACAGTTCGTCCACACGCGACACTACTGCTACTGCTTGCGATCGTCAGACCAGGTGGTTCTGCCCAAATTTTATCTTGCTGAACGATGAGACACTCGTTGGAGGAGGGTTGAGTGAGTAACAAGGGGTACCATTGGACTCACGCACGGTCTTTGATGCTCTGAAGGCCTTTTATGCTAAAAATCCACTTGCGGATTGGATAAGCCACCTTTCCATCATTCGATCGTCGATTACAGACGGACAGGGCCGGCCTCTCCACCGAAAGTCATGCGCAGAACAAGCAAGAACGCACATCGTGACGATACAAACCGTCGGCGAACCGGACACCTTTATCAATGATGGTGTTGTCGTATCGCATGTGGAAACACCCATCGTCAATTCGTTCCTTCCGATTAGAGCCCGATTGGGCGACGAATAGAGACGAGTCCTCTGCAGAGTCAGCAAACTGGTCACCTAGCCTTGGACGGGACTATCCGGGGAGAGGCTCGATGTCCTGTCGCTAGGGACAAAATAGGCTGTAGTGCAGCCTGTTGCATTCAGTTACAATAATTACATTTTCTTTTTCGGAGGTTATCTGCGTCTTTCCACTCCGCGGCTACGCCCGTTCGCTGATGTTGCACGTTATCAACAATTATGGACTAAACCATGACTATCCAGAGTTTTGCGCAGGAGTATTGCAACTCCGACTTAGCAATATACGTTTTGGTCAGGGTTAGTCTTAATTCCTGCTTTAGCTGTGAAATTTGATTTTGTTAGTAGCAACCGTTAATTTTCTAAACTGTCCTTCCGCACCGAGCATGTATGTAACGGGGCACCGGAGTGACACACTGGACAACCAGTGCAGACCTATTATCACCGACAGCAGGGTGAGCGGTGCCTCGCTAATTCTATAATCAGAGAGATGAAGAGAAATTAACTACAATCTAACTAGTTGCTGCTAATACTTAAACTGGATCCTCATCATTAAACTACGTTTTAGTCCAAACTTAATTGTATTTATCTATGAAAAATGTGTGCCAAAACTGTAACGGGGTAGCCCATTACATCATTTTGACACCAAACGGTGTCAATAGAAATATTGTCTATCATGACAATATCCTACCAATATCATCCGAAGTGGATAATATTGAAGGAATATTATCCCCTTTTGATAATGTTCATGCGCTGCTCCAAGATTGGTTGATATAAGACATATCAACCATAGATTGCCACCAATCGCTGCTAGACGCGCGCAATGAGTGGTGAGCAGGTTGTCGTCATACGACGGTGTAGTTTAATATAGATAGATAAAGATTAAAGTTAAATTGATAGCTCAACTATATTAAACACAGTTCTCTTTTTACCTTTACTTGACCGAGTCGTTCAAAAAGATTAGCTTCTTCTGCGCGCATTAGTGTACGTGACGTTTCGTGGCACCTGGAAAAAGGGTACCCCGTTACACCTGGTAGCACTTCGTAGTCCGTCCAACGACTACTTAGTGTCCGTCCAACATGAACATGTTGGACGTAGAAGACGACAGCCTTCACATCACCTGAATGGGAAGTAGTCGGTCGCATGCGTGTGCTCATGGGCAAATTCGCCATCAGTGGTATGTTGGAGTCTCGAAGTAGAGACCAGCAACATGCTGCTATTAACAAGTTCCTACAAGGGGAACTTGCCGTCGAAAGACAGAAGATAGCCTTGCTACAACAGCAGGGCTATCATCAGTCGATGGGCGGGCCGACGCACATGCGACGACCCGAAATTTTGAAGATTGATGTCTCAAGGTATAATGGAACCGATGAAGATTCTCTTTTGAGATGGTTCGTCGAGTCAGACAACGCCGCCAGGGCCCGCCACATAGATGGTGACGAGATGCAAGTCACCTTCGCCCTGTCAAATTTGACAGGATGAGCAAAGACTTGGGCCTTAGGGCTCAAGCTTCACGACCAAAACGTGTTTGAGTCGTTGGAGATCTTGAAGACTCGGCTGTTATAGACGTTTGAGCCGAAGAGAGCCGAGTTCAAGGCACGCTCTGCACTCGTGAGGCTAAAGCAAGGTAAGCGTGATGTGCACGCTTACGCACAGCACCTGCGCTACCTTGCAAGTAGCGTTACGGAGAACCCTGTTGATAAGCACACACTCATTAACGTGTTCATCTACGGTATTGTAGATGGACCGGTGAAGACCTACATGTTCCAATAGGACTTCCATACGCTGGAAAAGGCGATTGCGTATGCGGAACAAGAAGAATTCATCCTGAGACAGTCTCATGCTAACTCATCAAATTATCGTCCGACGAGACGACAGGAAACAGGAGGTCCCGAACCGATGAACCTCTGTTACATCGAGAGCGGGAACTCTCGCTCGTCGGTTTACAAGCGATCGGCAAGATGCCATCGCTGTCAGATATCGGACACATCGCTCATGAGTGTAGTGTCCCAAGCACCACAACACGTCCAAAGACAGGACGTGATGACCACCTTTGGCCAAGTAAAGGTCCAAGGCGTGGGTCCTACCATGTCGCTAAGCCGCGACAGCAAGTCGGACCGCCAAAAAACGGTCAGGGTCAGTAGGGGCGGAGCACCCTGCTGATCCGGCAACGTCAAGAGAATTTGCAGGACTCTTGACAAAGATTGCTCCTATCACGAAGTCTCTGTGTGTTACTGCCCCTAGTGATGAAGAGTCTCTCATCACTTTAAAGATAGAAGTGACAAGTGGAATGTCACTTCGCGCCCTAGTTGACTGTGGGGTGTCGAACAGTTTAATTCGACGCCAGTCGCTAGTGGATAGTAAGCTCAACTATGAAGAGCGAGAGTTCCCTCCAACGAGGATGACGGTGTGCCTTGCTACAGGCGCATCCGTAACCGTGAACAAAAGTGTAGTGGGAATTTACTACACGCTATAAGATACCCAATGTGATGATGACTTCATCGTACTAGATTTTGATGACATATTTGATGTCATCCTCGGTCGGCCATGGCTTAGAAAGTACCGGCCATGAATTAGCTGGCAGCATCGATCCGTGAAGATGCCTTCCGTTTGCTTATCAGATGGCCATCTTTTGAACGTCTTGGAGCGTCCACAAGCGTGTGGATTTACTACGAGTGATTGCGATGGCCTCACTTGTGGTACGGTCGTTGGAACAACTGCACAAGATCACAGTGTAGAAGGCCACTACACTGTGGAACCAGGTTCCGGTACCTGTGTAGAGACATAGACTGCGGCGAAAGTTCACCACTCGAAGAGACCGAGTGAACTGGAACACGGATGCACACCAAGAAGGGTGCATCCGAGACGAAATATTAGTGTTGTTCAGGATGAGCAACACGTTAAAGCAAGATCTACTATCAGAGAGTCGATAGAAGAGGATGTGATCGTGATAGTACACATAATGGAAGAAAAATCCAGCGTTCCTAAGAGTGATAACTCCCGAAAGAGTTATGTTGAGGGTGTGGACCCCCAACCACCTGCGGATGTGTTCTCCCAGAAAATTACCGAGTCAGTGAATGTCTTGGTGAATGAAGGATCAAGTGTAGGCGCTTATACACTTGACTTGATGACGCCCCTGAAGTCAGCTTCGGAGGTAATCAAGTTGCCAACGCTAAAATCTGAAAGATTCTTGCGAGATCTGCGTAGTGACAAGATCAAGCAGATCTGCATACTCGTCACAGAAGACGAGTACGTCGTCGATATTCGGTTGGCACAAGTGTTTAATGAGAACGAACTGGTTCTCAGTAGCTCATCGATGGACGAGAGTGTCTTCAATGAGAAGACTCGGATTGAGCGATTCACGTCTCAATCCTGGGAGTCTTTATGACAAATTCTTTGTGTGAGGATTTGGTCGAATTTAGGGATGTTTTCCCGGAATCCGTGCCATGCGAGCTGCCCAAGGACAAAGGCACTCGGCATGAGATCGAACTAAAACCCGTTTCAAAATACTGTGTCATGAAGCAGTGGTTACTTCCTCATGAACAGGTAACAGCGATCGACATTTTTTAGCGGTTGGTCATGTGAGGGAATCGACTTCCCCACATAGCTCTCCGACCTTCTGTGTGCGAAAAGCAACAGGAGGGTGGCGGATAGTGCACGCGCATAACAAAATGAACGCTGCAACGTTACCAACTCAAACGCCGATCCCAAGAAAGGATGTCATAATAGATGGTATGGCAAAAAGTACCATCTTTTCATCCATGGATTTGATGCATGGATTCTATCAGACCCTCATGCGTGAACGGTATATCCCGTACACAGCAGTGAGCACCCCCAGTGGTATGCTCTGGGAGTGGCTAGTGATGTTAAAGGGGCTAAGTAACGCCCATGCAAAGTTCTACAGATGCGTTACGAATCTGTTGCGACCGGTGTGAGATTTTGCACCGAGTTAGTTCGACGATGGCTTCGTCCATAGCCGGGCTATGGATGGAAATACGGACGTGGAGGTTCATATAATCTAAGTCCGGAAGGTTCTTACTTAAATACGTGAGCATAAGTTGTTTTCGAACCTCAAGCAGTGTATATTCGCAGCGAACGAAATACCACTTCTTGGCTGCATCGCGGGTAAAATGGCGTGCGCCCTGAAGCAGAAAAGATCAAGGCGATTGGCGACTGGCCTGTGCCAGTCGACGCCAAGGGAAGTCAAAAGCTCCTTGGCTTAGCAACGGACTTGCACAAGTACTCGCGCAACTATGCCGAGATGACTGTACATCTCTCTCGTCTACTAAAGAAAAACGAGAGGTGCTCATGGAGCGCTGAGTGTCAGCACTTTTTTGAAGGCATCAAGAAAAGCTTGGTGCAATCGCCTGTGTTGGAGATAGCAGATCAGGATAGACCGTTCCGTGTGGTCTGTGACGCCAGCGATTTTGCAATCGACTGCGTAATAATGCAGTACGACTCGGACGGCGTTGAGCGCGTCGTCTGTTATCAATCGCGTCAGCTGCAAGCGGTTGAGCGTGAACCCGGTGCATGACAAGGAACTCCTTGTCATGAAATATGTACTGGTCAAGTTTTTGGTATATATCTTAGGAGATAGGCCCTTCATCGTTTACAGCGACCATGCGTCGTTGCGCACGGCTGTAAACATCCCACACCTCTCTCAACGAATCGCGAGGTGGCTGTCTTTCTTCGCGGAGTATAACTTCTCCGTCGAGTATAACCAAGGACGACTTAATGTCGTGGCTGATGCTTTTTCGCGTCGGCCCGATTACGAGCCGACTGCTCAACACAACAGTAGGGGTGATCCCTTGTAGCGACACTAACAGTGAGTGTTCCGTCGTCGAATCTTCTCAACGACGTGCGAAGAGCATACGCAGAAGATGAGTCTCTCCTGCGATTGGTAGACTACATATCCAATCCTTGCAGTCAAGCTTTATAAAGCTTGTCGTCACAATACTGCTCTTCAACCGAACGGTATTCGGTTCGTGATGGACTGCGTTTACTATACAGAAGTCAACGCCGACACACCTCGTGTCTTCGTTCCGACTCATATTAATTTGCGATTGCGAATCATGTATGAGTGCCACGATGCCTCAACAAGTAGGCATCGCAGTAGATAAAAGACTAACCTCAAAGTGAGTCACGACTTCTACTGGCCCCGCCGGTACGGGTTTGTGCGCAAATACATTCGCGCTTGCGAAGATTGTCAAGGTGAAGCCTAGTCCTTCATCCCGCGCACCTTTGCATCCTCTTCCGATCCCGGCAGAGTGTTGGTAGTCCGTATCGATGGACTTCGTCTTCGCATTTCCCACAGACGTTCACAAGAAAACTGGCATTCTTGTGCTTGTTGATCGGTTCGACAAGATGTACACCTTGTTGCTGTACCGGAGTCAATCACAGCCCAGGGATGTGCGCGTGTCTTCATCGATGCTATCTTCCAACTTTACGGGTTACCCCGTGAACTCGTGTCTGATTTAGACCCCCGCTTCACAACGGAGTTCTGGCAATCCGTGTTCCGTTCACTTGGAACACGTTTGAAGATTTCGACTATGACCATCCAAAAACAGATGGTCAGATGGAACGCGTCAGCCGCGTCCCCGAAGAGATACTTCGAGGGTATGTCCACTCGTTTACGAGCTGGAGTGAGTTCTTGCCGATGGTGGAATTCGCCATCAACAACTCAGTGCATGCGTCGACAACGCACACACCGTTCTTCGTGAATGCCTACGCCATCCACGTTTACCCGCCTTCGTAGAGTGTGACTCTAGTTTAAGGGGGGGTGGAATCGCTCAAACGAAAACCGATCTGGTTCTTGCTCATCACCCGTCGAAAATGGTGTCGACGTGATGGACGCCGATGTCGATCCGATCGACATCGATGATGACGATGACGACGATGCTGGTACATTCAGCATCGCCAATGACAACCAAAGTGAGGACGATGACACCCGCACTGGTAAAGACAACTTTCTTTTAGCAGTTCACACGAAGCGCACTGCTGTTGACAAGGCGGAATCAGCAGAGTAATTGCTGCTGACTCGAGAAGCGGTTGTCTGCTTCGTTCAAGACTCTATTGCAGATGCAATAGACAGACAGAAAAGAAATGCAGAAAAACACGGAAGAGCAAATGTTATTTCATTTGATAAAGGAGACCTAGTTTTATTTTCTGCAGTAAATCCACAGAAACAAGCAGTGACAAACGTGGGCAGCAATAAATTTCTGCCCAAGTAAATCGGGCCATTTCGTGTGTTGCGCCGAATAGGCAACGCATACACGATTGAACTGCCCCGTAAGATTCGTACGCATCCTACGTTTTACGTTGTTCGTCTCCACCCTTACTATCAGTACGAGCCCGTTTCAAGATGCGAAGAACACCTCCGCGGTCGAGAGCCAAGACCACCTTCGAGTGGTCCTGTTTCAACGAGCCAGTCTTGTTGGCTAGGGAAGCGACCTGCTCAGACAATTGAGCGATGTCTCGACGAGCTACAGCCAGCTCGTCACAAAGAGAACGAGTCGAACGTTCGTTCTCAAGTCGTGCGAACGAAAAAGCGGCACGATCGTCCGAACGATCGTGCGTTAGGGAATTGTAATTATTTCTTACAAGATCCTGAAGCTCATAACGCCAAGTCCGTCCATGAGCCAAGTCATCTTGCAACTGTTCCATTACATGATTCAGCTCTTGAACATCAAGCTGACCCGACCCTCGAGCCGGATCATGCGTTCCCGCCGCCACCACATCCTTTGGTGGACTCAAGCGGTGCTCAACGCTTCCTAGTGGAGCGTATTTTGAACCACCGCGATGTGAATGGCGTCCGGACGAGTCACCTCGTCCGCTGGCGTGGCTAACCACCGGCGTGAACCAGCTGGGAGCCTCTTGCTCAGCTGATTGTTGATGTTCTTAGTCTCGTCGAGCAGTACGACGAGACCCACCCGCTGCGTTTGAAGGAGGGACGTCGGAAAACGACCTTCTTGAACGCGAGTACAATGATTGCAAGGTGTCAACCCCTTCGGCCATCTAGGAAGAGATGCACGCCCTCCAGTAGGTATCATTAGGGAGGTAAGCCTCCCTAGGGGCACGGTAGAGTTGTCCAAGCACCCTGGACGCGAATCAACCCACACTAGACAGGGTAATACCGCCTCTCTTAAAAGCCGGTGCAACTTATATCGCGCCCCGACTGGGTTGCGTTTCTCAAACCTGATGCAAGATGCATGAAGCTTGGCGAGCCAAGCCTCACAGCCAATACACTTGAATCTATATATGAGGGCATTCCATCCTTGTATCAAGGCTTTGCCGTCTCGAACACGGCTACCATTGTACCACCGATGTTTGAAGAACGCATCGGTGAAGAACTCTTTCTCAGCCTGGACAGTTTCCGTGCTGCAATCAGGTAAGAAAAATATTCCTGCAATTAAACAACGGGATTCGATCCCGTTCAATAGTCGTGCCGGCCAACCGGTCCAACTCTGTGCACGGCGGCATCCACGGAGAATCCACTTGGGGAGCGTGGCGCAGGAAACTTCGGTCCCTGTCCTCTTGATTGGTGCCAGCATGAGCACTGGCACCACTGTTACCCCGATACCTTAAGTTACTTCGCTCGTGGAGATGTATAGGTGCATCACCACCATCCCCACTAGTCATACCGTTGAATGGACTTGCGTGAGGCGTATATTTATCTAAAATAATTACTCGATCCAAAGATCTCGGTCATTATACCGCCGCGTTGACCAGAACCAGTCAACTTGGCTCTTGCAGTGTCCACCCCGGGTGATCCGGGGCGTGATGAGTCGCCTTCGAGTCGGATGCATCATCCGACTCGCCAGAATAGATGAGCTCTATTTCAGACTCATATTGATTACGACTCGTGGTACCCGCTTCAGACGCAACGGATGTACCTGTCGCACGTTGTGACTCACCACGTGGACGATTCGTGACAAGAGACGACAAATTACCTGCTGCTGAGGTGTGAAAAGTACTCTCCGGCTGCTCGCATGCGTACAGCCGCCCTTCCTGCTGCTGCAGTAGATACTCGCTTAGTTTCAGAAATTACGCGTTGGATTGGCAACTGAATGGGCTTTGACTAACAAGTGCTTCCTTTCCCAGAGTGATCCAACGGTGATCACCCTGTCCCAATCAATTTTATATCATTACCGGGTGATTGATGGTTAAGGGGGGGGTTAACGGAGTAGTAGTTACATGATATTGACACCAAATAATGTCAATAGAAATATTGTCTAGCATGACAATATCCTACCAATATCATCCGAAGTGGATAATATTGAAGGAATATTATATCAATATCATCTGAGGTGGATAATATTGAAGGAATATTATCCCCTTTTGATAATGTTCATGCGCTGCTCCAAGATTGGTTGATATAAGACAAATCAACAATAGATTGCGACCAATCGCTGCTAGACGCGCGCAATGAGTGGTGAGCAGGTTGTCGTCATACGACGGCGTAGTTTAATATAGTTAGATAAAGATTAAAGTTAAATTGATAGCTTGACTATATTAAACACAGTTCTCTTTTTACCTTTACTTGACCGAGTCATTCAAGTAGATTAGCTTCTTCTGCACGCACTAGTGTACGTGAAGTTTCATGGCACCTGGACAAAGGGTGCCCGTTACACCTTCCTCATAGTTTTTGAGCTCCCCGTCAACTTTGGTCGTTACGTCCTTGATCTTTTTATTATTGCTTTACCGTTAGCAGTCTTTGCCAACTTAGACTCGCTTTAGTCGATCTGTATTCTTTTAAAGCCTCGCTGATGCGGTCGTCTAAGGAGTGTTCAATTTGTCTGCCTCGCTCGACTGTGTTTGCTAAAGTTCTATGCGTAAACCTGTCCTGTCTCCCGTTCGTACTTGTTTGAGCTTCTTAACAATGAAAAGGTTGATGATGCGTCGGGTTCATCTCGCTGGTATCCATTAAGGCCTGTACAGATATTAGCGCTGCATTTGCATTAGCTCTGTCGTCGCTGCTGGTGCACGTGTGATGAACGCTCAGCAGCAAAAGTCTGAATTGAAGGAAGTAATAGCTGAGTAAGGCTGGCAATACTTGAGGCTCTTTAGACGGAAAAGTGGTTGGTCTACCCGCTCGACTGTTGCAGTGCTCATGTCTTCACATCATCAAATGACGCTGCTGCTTCTTGCTAAATGATGTAACGGGGCACTCTGAAGCTTGTACTGATGACAGTACAAGCTACATATTCTGAAGACAGAACAAGGCGGTGCCTCGTAACTTCACGTACACTCGTACGTGCAGAGGAAGACAGTAAGAAGAAGCGAGTACTCGGTTAGAGTAAAAAGTAGAACTGTATTTATAATAGTTAATGTCTGCAATAAATCACTGTTTATCCTCATCTAACTATGTCTGAATACAAATGTGCATATCAACTATCTGCTCACCACTCATTGCATGCGTCCGTCGTGGCGCGTCTTCTTTGGTTGATATAAAGGGCTATATCAACCAATTAGGAACTACTCGTAAGTGCTGCAGAATATTTGTCCTTATGACAACATTTTGAGAATATAACTCGTATGGTTAAATTCTATTGACATTTCTTATTAATTGTTATGTAACGGGTCACCCCGTTACATCAACCTCCCCTTAACCATCAGTCACTTTAGTGACTGATTGACGATATGGATACTCGTTCCAAATAAAATGGGACGGGGTTTGCACTTGTTGGTCCGAGTCCACAGTCCATCAGTTTCATCGCATGGTCAACAAGTTCATGCGATGCGCGAGCAAGGCCGCCGAGAGCGCGTCTGCTCGTCTCTGTGCAGACGCCGAAGCAGAAACAACAGCAACTGATGTCCCATCGGTTGCTGAAGCGACCCAGCCTGTGTCACTTGGTGATGCAGGCGCTGGTCATGAAGACACTCGTGTCTTCACAGAGTACGAGCTCGGTGTCTCGTACTCTCCCGATACGGATGACGGATCCGTATCGACGGCGATTGAATCTAAGCCGCCTGCCAAGCGTGGCATGGATGATGCTATGCGTCGTAGCATCTTTGGTTCATCTGATTCATCAGATGAACCATCGCCGAAGCGAAGGCGCTCGAGGTCGCGAGACTCGGGCGCTAATAGTGGTGTCGGTTCTCCTATGGACACCACTTCACAGCGAGGTGCCAATACTTCTGTCGGCACATCGCAGAAAGAGCGGGACCGCATTGTGTTGCGTCTCGCTCCAGAAAAGAAGGCATGGATGCCTCCTAAAGCAGTCATGGATCACTTGTCGGCGACGACGAGTGATCGTTATCGAACACGATTGTTCGATTCGTCAAGGACCCATCACCTTGACCCCAGCGCGAAAAACTATCGCGCTGAACATGAATTCTTCATCGATGCTTTCTTTAGACATCGATGGTACAGTGGGAATCACAAACGTGATGGTCCCTCACTACTTCAGGCGTGGAACGCTTACATCCATAACCTTGAGGATGTAGGTCGTGACGTTTGGAACGACAAACTTATCAAAGCTCGTGATAAGTTTTGAAAAGCGAACCCCGACTGGTGCACGCTATAAGCTGCATCGTCTATCAAGGGAGAAAGGATTACCCTGTCTCTCCTGGGGAGACTCGTGCCCTTGTTGTGTAAACAACTCTGCGCGCGCACCTAAGGAGTCTTACCTCCTTACTAGCCCGTGGTGGCGCGTACGTATCACTAGTGAGATGTACGAAGGGATTGACAACCTGAAATCCATTTACGACCGTGCCGGGAAGACTTTCTGCGGCGGTCCTTCTGTAGCACAGGATGTGCCGCGTCGTACTGCTCAACCAGACACAGTACGTCAACCATCAGTTGGGAGCGGAGCTTCCAAGTATCCCAGGACGGGAGATAGCCGCGCCATCGGACGAGATAACTCGTCCGACGTCCGTTCACATCGTGGTGGTTCAACAGCTGCTCAATCAGACAGTGCTGACCACCGCGAGAGTCCTCCAAAGGAGGGGGAGGAGGAAAGACGCTCTCCACACGATCATGTGGATCGGTGTGTTCCCGAGAGCTTCTTTGATCGCGTAACGCAGG